TATAAGGTTATTTACAAATATAGATAGCAACTGCAACCTGCATTTCACAAGCAACTTATGAGCAGGTAAAGTTTGTAATGGTGCAGTAGGGTGGAGGCTTGGTGGTGAGCTGTGAAGCATAAGCGAGGAATCGCATACGTCGAATCGAGTCGTCGAACGTCGAACCTTACCACTGAACCACCACGACTCGATTCGACGTATGCGATTCCTCGCTTATGCTTCACAGCTCACCACCAAGCCTCCACCCTACTGCACCATTACAAACTTTACCTGCTCATAAGTTGCTTGTGAAATGCAGGTTGCAGTTTTGCTATCTATATTTGTAAATAACCTTATAGACTCTATCGATCTACCCAGGTCTCCATTCAAAGTTCCATGGTAAGTTGGCGGACTTCCCTGGTAAGCCACCAGCTAGTAACCTTGTGATGACGTCCCCACTTTATCGCATTCATTGTGGTAATTACTAAAAGCACTCACCTATAGTGCATTGTCCAACGTAATTCCATGACCCGCATAGCGCCACATGACAGGCAGCAATTGGACTTGCATGAGAGATGAATAGTATGTTACCTAAATACCGTACGTTCTGTACTTGGACGAATCGGCATGTTTGAAATACTGTATGATGGGTCACTATGGAGTAAGAGCCAACGTAGAATGTTCTCGGGTTCGTGCAAGCATTGAAAAATGCCTTGATTTGAAAGTTATTTCCTGCTGTTCCAATCTTCGGTGGAAGCGCTTTTTTGTCCGTGCTTGTGTGCATGGTGTACAACGTAAATATTCACGAAACAACTCGTGGCTTGACCTTTTTTTTGGCGTTTTTTATCTAACGCGATAAGGGACAAAGCTTTTGGCGTTGACTTCCTCTTTAAGATGCCCTGCGCGATTCGTTGCGCAGGAGGTGGTGTAGACGCGAGTGGTGCTGTCTATTTCATGGTGCCCGTAAATCATTGTTTAAGCTTAATCGCATTCAAAAAGCCAGCACGACTCCAATTGGAAGTGGAACGTTTGGAGCATTCGTGAAATGATCGACCAGCGAGGGATGCTTTATCCTTCATGCAGCACCGTCTTGAAGAGGTTACGGCTTCAGAATAGAACCCGTGACTGATGTAGAAGACTATTTTTATCAACCTACCCGTAGGGTATTTAGCCAGTATGTTTCGTAAGGTCACAGTAACCCGTGGAATGCAACCCGCATCTCCACCATGCTCCGGTGGCAATGTTGTGAAAACCGGTTCATAAGAATCGTTGACGTCTGGGTTCATTTGCCTGAACAAGACATTTTTCTTCGAAGTTCTTTCCATTCCTAATGCAGACCATTAAGTCGGACTGCATTGGGAGTTGTAAGAATAACTATTAGGAATGTAGGAGAAGGGAAAAAAAATTCATTTTTGGAACACTCGGAAACTAACGGCTGGAAGCATTACAATCGAGGCTACTTCAAGCGATGATGGAGATCTCTTAGTTCCTCGTCCTACCCTAACGAATTTTCATCCAGTCAAACAGGAGATGGGGAGGCGGTAGAGAACAACCAGAAGTATGAAGGCGCCTGGTTGGCGTTTGGCTATGGTTAGGAGTGTGGCTGGCCGTGCAACAGCGCAGGCGAAGAGAAAGTATCCGTTTATAGCTAACCTCCAGCTCGGTTCCAGTGCACTTTTGACCGGAGGAAGTGGCACATCCCGAGATTACTGCAGCTGCGAACTTACACTCCCCTTACGGCAAGAACCAGGACCCTCTCTCCCAACAACGGGCAAATACGACCTCTAACCCACAATGGAATTTCCGCAATGATGTGAGTCGTGAAACAATTCAAATCAACTACCACATAATTTGCTCTGACCAAATACGACTCCCCCCTCGGTTCAGCGACATGTACAACCCCCCCCCCCCTCCCCGCTGGATATCCCTAGGACGTGCGCCGATTGCAGTACACGTTGAGATATTGCTAGTTAAGTATTAGTGGGTACTAGCAACTCGCCTTATGGTTAGTGCTGTAGTCCAAAAACTCACTTGATCTGTTCCATCGTTGGTCGACCAGGAGGCGACATGCAGGCGTTTAATGATTCGCCCATGCCAGGTTCTATACAAAGACGTGGTGGATTTTTTCGACATGAGAGGATTTCGGTAGCCGTCTCGACACACCGGGTGAATGGCGAACAGATCACGTAGTCAATAGGTTCGTTCATTAGTGCAACACCGACCTCGCGAGCTTGTTGGTGTCCTCGAGCGCTGAAATTTTGTTAGTTCAGTTTTTCCCTTTTCGATTCGTGAAGTTGTTTTTGACGAGTTTGTGGGTGGCAGTACTGATGTTGATCGAGCGATAAGCACGGTGTTTTTGTGTTATTATTTGCAAAAAATTAAGGCCGCGGTCTGGCTTGGTGGGGGCATTCTACTGGTCCATATCGATCACTGACAGTGCCTTCTGTAGAGACTGGGAGACGTACAAGGCAATCATAATTTGTCGCATCGTCGCGCGCGGCGTGTCACGCGGAGAAGCGCGACAAATTCTCGATGGCTACTGTACGTCAACTAGAACAGCGAAACACTTGTGAACTCAAGCGGAGACAAGACTTCATGACACGCGACATCGAATTTCGTCAACACTCTCACCCTCATATGCAAACGGCCAGGGCAGGACAACTCGCCCATCAACGCGACATATTACTATTCTCCTGTCGCATAGCTGTGGGGACGTGCTAATTTCAGTGAGCTATGCGGCATCATGAGCTTCATCTTTACTCGGCAAGAGTCTCCAAGGTGAAACGTAAATCAACAGAAAGCGGCTAAAGGGCAAATGCCTCCCCTACGCAGAACAGCGCCGAACTAAGCTCAGAAATAGTGGGCAAAATTGTTGCTGTACCTGAGGGGCGGATCATCCCATCGTTCGGCGGTCTTTTTCCACGTTTTGTCGACGTTGTCCACTCGCTCGCCATGCCGCACGAACCAAAGGATCCGACTTGGTGTTTTCATATCTGAAAGACGATTCTATGGTCCACCTTATTTGAGCAGATAGGAAATCAAGCGATTCAACTAAGCGAATAGTGACGGGCGTTGTGATGATTTCATCAAGTTCCGAGGAAGAAATGCTCGTGTGTGTGGTAATCATAAGT